CTGATCTCAACAATAGATATGTATATAACATAGTATATATACGCTGACGAGCTGCGTGTGTCAGGCTGCACCATCATCTGGCAACACTGTATAGTCAAGCATAATACTCCTCGCTCTCCCAACAGCATGCAGAGTAACTAGATGAGCGGCAGCGTGTCTCATGCGATGGCAGAGCATTGTCGAAACTTGGTCGATCGTGTAGTAGTGTACTCTTGCAAAGGCATGGCGATCTAGATACTCGAAGTCTGACGACTCTGCACTGACTGGTGCGCGTCTTGTGATAGTTCTGAGCTCAGCAGTAGCCTGAGATAATAAGTAGTGTGCTGAATGTTCGTGCGTGAATGATCATGGAGAGGAGCTTATTACGAGCCAGTCGCTAGCAGTCTGTCGTTGCTGCTTAACATATCAGAGATCTTATGCTCGGCCGCGAATCTCCAGTGTCGATACGAAGTGTGAAGGAAGTGTGTAGAACTGGTGAAGATGAATGTGATAATGAGTGTAGATGTGTCTCATGATAGTCGATAGTAAGCTCTCGAGTATATTAGCTATGCGGCGTAGTCTCTACTTCAGCTATTTGATGATCAGAGAACAGAATGACGTGTGTGACCATGTGAGATCTATGTAACGAATATAGTACTGTATTAGCAACGAGAAGTATCTTACATGCGAGGCACGACAGCAGTACTCGTCGTTATAACGAGCGCTTGCATATGTTATGAGAACCTTCGTCTAATCTGCCAGAATCAGGATTATAATGTATTCATCTACAAGAGCCGTACAGATTACAGAGCGTGCTGAGTAATGCATGGAGGATGCGAGAAGCGAGATAGTATGAAGTCGATGCGAAGTCTAGGTACTGCAGATGATGAGTCTGAGATGATAGACATAAGCGATATGAACCTATCCTATAACATCTTATGAGACGCGCACTATTGACCGATTACAGCGTGCATAGTATCTGCACGTCGCGCCGTAGCTGCGCATCGATGTATGCAGCTCCGAATAGCTGTGATATGTATATACATCGACTACCTGCAGCCTAAAAGCCTGAGTGATACTGGATGATCTGAGTCGCGAACAGACTGGCTAGAAAGTCACCACGGGATACAGACGAAGATAGCGAGACAACTGCAAGCTCCTGACAGTGAATATGAGTGAACTCGCTAGAGCTATACGTAGATGCGTGCTGGACAGGTTCCTGAGTCAGCGCAGTGGGTAGGGGTCCGCGACGCCGTGATCCTACTTCGCTCTCAGCTTTTCTTAGTATCAAGAGGCTCGACAACGAACTGCGACAGCATGTTGTATAATGTGTCAGCGCATCATCGATAGCATAAAATATGATAATCCGTCCTTTATTTACACCTGACGTCTCTGCTACATCATGTCTCCCGAGTACTATGTATAAGTATGCTATCTACGCGAGATTATTAATCGTGATAATGAATAACTAGCACTACCTTTGTAATAAAAACTGATAACAATAGGCCTATAGTCTTCATATCAAACAATTAAAACTATATTATATTCTCTTTTAATTAACCGACAAGTTCGCGCTTCGCCTCTCCTTAGATCTACAGCCGCCTGTATTATATAAACGATAGTTAACAATATTCAGAACCATAAGAAGACACTCGAAATAGATTAGTAGTATCTCTATGATAATGCTCAATAGACATATACAAATGAAGTAATTTCATAGTGCACGTCGTGTGCAGTTGTAGTGCGCAACTTATATACATCTGACACTATAAACTCAATGCCTCACTACCGCGTCAGCATCGGAAGTAGCTCTAAGTATGAGTTATACTCAGAAATTTTGTGCGATGGTACAGATATACTAAAAATAAATAGCTGCAGATATAAACAAAAGTGATAGCAAGCCGTGAGAATACCATGTAATGACTGATAGAGATGATAATAATCTGCTTACGCATCACAGATCAGAATGATCTTATCTCATATTATCGATTCTTACTCACTACTATTTGTCGTATGTAGCGCTATCTCTGTAATCGCATATGTGATCGCGGCGCCTCTACATGAGTAGTCCCTACGTATGTAGACCATCCTATATGAATCATACGAGCTCGTATCAGTACGCACTACATATCGTTAAATTCTGTCCTCTCGAATTCACGCTCCGCATCCAGATACATATCACATACTACACGGCATGCTTTACCATTATCTCTCGCTCTTCTTCGCTGATCTCTCGATCTCTTAGATCGTATATAACTCGCTGTCAGCCTGCCCGCTTCTCTCTTCTCCGCACGTCCGTACTCTTATGCGATTAAGCACTAGTAAAGACATCTCGACAAGACTCAAGAAATAAGATGGTGAATTTCTCGTGGCGACGTTCAGTATACTCTGATCTACTGTCCAGATGCTACCTCCTACGAGCGATTAGCGAGCATATCCACCCAAGAGCTCCAGTGATCGCTCTAATGTGCTCTGTAGAGTCGTCGCACACTACATACTCTTCTCTCTCGACTGAGCACTCTCGATCCTGTCATCAGAGGAACACCCGGAACTCCGAATGCTTTCAATTATGAGGAGCCTGAGCAATCAATCGCGACTGCCACACATATCATCGTCACAAGGTCCAGACCGTTACCAAAGAAGATAGACGTAGGGAAGAAGAGGCAAACGTATTTATGTATTTAAGATGATGATGAGAGATAAAAGAAGATAGTAAAGATGATAATTCTGCAAAGACAGAGATGGAAAGAGAGGAAGATGTGAAGAAGAGAAAAAAGAGAAGAAGAGGAGGATAGAGACGGGGAACAGGATAGACGGATCCGCCGTATGACGCCGGGTGATGCCGAAAAGGGAAAAAAGGAGGGGAAAAAAACCGAAGGTACGGTCTCTTCTGTCGTGAACTGTGTATGAGCGTCTGGACACAAGGAGTCCGCGCATTTAATAGAATAGGTATGATCTTGAATAAAGACAGATGAAACGGTATGAAGAAAATAGGCAGTACGAGAGAGATATCAGGATATTATGGGGAATTTTCTTGTTTAATCTTCTTCTTTTAGATTGGGATTCAATACAAAATTAATATAATACTGATCACATCTTTATAACAAAAGTATATGGATCTTTCTTGTGACAATATCAACAGCTTTTACAATTTTTCACAAAAAATGAGAGAGAGAAAGAAAAAAGTGTTTACTTTAAAAGTAAAAATTAAGATAATACTGGTACACTGCTATGATGCTTCTACCTTAACTAAAGTGTTATTCTTTAAAAATGTTTCTTATGTAAACATCTAATAGGCATTAGTAGTTCAAAATACTAAAGAGTGCAAAATCAGAACAAAAATATAAAATATATGCATACAGTCATTCTTCAAAATATCACAGATCTTGCATCAATGCTTCAGCTTATTTCTACAGAATGAATCACTTGAAAGAAATCATACAATTAGTACTCTGACTTTGTCTTTTTTATACATAGAATATTCCCTTTACTATTACTCAACTAGATTCATTCACCATTCACCTAACTGCCAAAGATAAAAATTCAAGATTCATTTCCTTGATCAAATGACTGTATACATACTACTTTTCTTAAAACAAAGGCCTGTGTAGCAAATCCTAGTAGCTACTGTAGCTAGCTTGGCTCTTACTTGTGTGTCAAGAATTTATTCTTGCAACAATATAGAATTTTTCTTTTAAGGAAATCAATCAGGCTTATTTTTGGCTATAAAAAATAAAAATAATCCATGATCTAAGTAAAATCCTAATAATCTGATTTCCTTCAGTGCAAACCTATTCCTTTCAATAAACGATAAAACTTCTGGCTCTTTTCCCAGATCTAGGCAGCAATGTCACCCAATAGTCAAACAGATTATATATATCACAACCAAACAAAATAAATTGTTACAGTTTTATTTTATTTTCCAAAGTGATGCTTTCTCTTCAATTGAAGGTGGTTGAGAATCTATAGAAATAGGAGTATAATAATCTAACATAATCAGCATGACAATATGTAATTTGAATAACCAAGATGATAATATATTGAGGACAATTACACTGAACAGTTCTGCATATTGCAAAAAATACAGCAGTTACTATATGACCACAGGGAGATAGAGCTGCCCATGTTGAGAGAACAAGCAATTGTAAACTTAACTATAGAGATGAGGATCCTACACTCATTAAAAACATAATGGTGCAATATACCTAATTATATCAGGTATAGGTGACAATATTTTCTCATTATCAAGACAAGATAAAGACAATCATATGGAACACCTTGCTATGCAATTGTGAAATTCACTCCAACTTTCCCTGTATCTTTAAACTAACTGCAGAAATTGAGAGAACATTTAAAAATCAATAAATCATAACAAAAATTAATCATCCATGTGTCCATCTAGCTAAATGAAATTTCCTATAGCATTTCCTGCAGGTAAGTGCTTAAATCTTAAAACACATTTCTGAACTTCTTAACAAGCAACAATCAGGGTTTCATCAAATGTGAATGAGATTGACAGTGTTCCAAGACTAGAAATTTTTTAATTACTGCACAGAAAACAAAATCTTCAAAAATTCTATAACTTATCAAGCAGATCATAGACAGTTGGAACTCGCATAACCTCCTTTGGAATAGAATGCAGTATGTCAGAGGATTATGGGACATCCAATCATGAATGAAATATGTTATGATCAATGAATGCTTGAAACCATATGTTGTCTCTTTATATCTCACAAGACTGTACAGCAGAGCTAGATGATTTGTTTCTGGTTCTATGGGTACCTTATCTGAGAGACATAAAAATGTTCATCTCACTACTGAAGTCCTATAATATATTCCTGCATAAATTTCTTACATGCAACACGCAAAGTCAAGCACTTTGTACTTTTAATCTTTGCTACCGGCAGGTACCCAGCATGTCATTTCACATACACACTACACAGGAAACCACGGGAAGGAGGCATGAAAGTTTCATCTCTTAACGCACACTGATAAGCACACATCCTCCCCTCTCCTCAGTG